CATGGAAGTATGCTCTGTTGGCATATTGGAGCTAACTGCCTTTGGTGACAGAGTCCTATTAAGATTATCCTGCGTTTTCTGTTCCCTCATACCATAGCCTGTGTCCCAGCTGGATTGCTCTTAATTGGAGGGCCACAGTTTAAACTGCCTCTCAGAGATGATCTGGAGGAAAAAAAAATAACTGCAGCATAGGAAAAAGCAGTTTTTAACCTTGATCATTTCAGTGATGAAGATTAATGTTATGCAAGTGAGTGGGCGGACAGTGGCAGGAACACATGGGAGGGGTGAGGAGGTTGGGAGCTTCCACAACTACTGAATCACAGATACCTTCAGGCATGGCTAGTAGTGCAGCGAGCTGCAAAACATATACTGGACCTGGGGGCAAATGGTTGAAAGGCAGTTCTTTGTTGTTAGTTCACAAGCAACAGTGTCACGCAAGTAAGGCACCAGGGACAAAATCAAACTTTGTTTACTGTGGTAGCTTTGGCTAGTGGCTGCCAGCAGTGCCTAGCACTTTTGTGGCAGTGTGCTTGCCGCATGTGAGCTCCGGGTTGCAGGCTACTGTTGGAGTAGCTGGACCATCCAGACCTTTGTGTAATTGCAGAGATTTTGCTGTTAGTAGGTTAGCTTTGGATTTCTTGATTGTGTTTTTGGGTTGCACTGTGTATCTGAAGATGGTTTGCAGCCCTTCTGTAGTTGTCCTTGAAGCACGAAATAGCTTTTAATGTCGCACCTAATTTAAAAAATTCAACTTTTTTTTTAAGTATATGGATGAATGATATGATCCAGAGTTCCTTGAAAAGTGTCATTGCATGCTGTAAAGAAAGAAGGGATATGACTTAGCAAAGCTGTCGAAGATAGTACCTGATTTGCTTGATCAGATGAGACAATAGTCAAAATATGTCTGCAGCTGGAAAATTAATATGGTTGCAGCTGCTCCTTAACTGCTTTAGGTGTATAGGGAAGATTGCTTTCCAGCTTCTCATAGCCACAGAGATTATGCCATGTAGCTTTCACATTTCCACACACATTCTGTTAGTTATGGATATTATTGATATCTTATGACTCTTGACCCAAAATACAACTTTGCAGGTGTTCTTCTTGTTAGGTACCTGCCTTGTATTGGTCTGCCTTTCTGATGTGGTGATGTGGGTTTTTTTTTTTTTTAGTGTAAAGTGGATTACTGGCTCTTCATCACTTTGTATATTTGCATTTGAAATCCAACAGAGTTTAAACACAAGTGGGAAGTCCGTTAGAAAATACATAGATCAGCAATGGATATACTACCAACAGCTCTGTGTGTGTGTGGTAACTATTCTTTTAATCATACATATAAATGAAAACTCAGACTTGTGTGTGTGTGTATTTCATTGAGCCAACTTCTGTATCCATTTGAATGGATCTGAATCTGAAGCCACCACCTTAAATTTTTTTTGTTCTTTGAAAATGTCTAGATCTAAAACCTTCCTTATTCTTTATTCAGACTTCTTACTGATTTGCCTACGATTCAAGCTTTCATTTTACCTGCTGCTGAAGCATCATGTTTTTCCCCAGGCTGTGTCTGCACTGAAGGATTCTCTTGGCATAGGTGCACTGGCCAAGTGTACGATCTGTGACTGACGTTGTGCTGGCAGAAGCCCTCAGCGTAGGTGCTATATTGGGCAAAGCTGATCTACTTCTGAGATTGCTCCTCCTGTGAGCACAGCTCCTCACCAGTAGAGAAAACTGGTATTCTTGTACCAGTTAAGTGCTCATGGTAAAAATGTAGCTATGGAACCGCAAAGGTCAGGAAATTAAACTGCATCTGTTAATTACAGAACTTGTCGTTATTTCTCAAAGTTTGGATGAGATGCATCAGAAATAGCAATTGCTTTTCATGTGCCCTCTTACTTTGTTGTAAGTACTGCCATAGCTTAAACATGTTGGAGGAGTAAACTGCTTTGCATTTATTGCGGGGGTATTATTTTATATATATACCATTATATATTATAATGGTAGTTACTATTTAGTAATTGATACCTAGTTGGTTCTTGCTTTTTACTTACTCCACAGTAACTTGTTAGTATGTTTATACTCTGCTTGTCTGATAGGAAGAAATGCTTGTTAGTCAGTTAGGTAACGCATTGGTTGCTTCAATATTTTTTTCCCCCCCTTAAGTTGAAATCATTCCCTTCAGGAAGTGTGCAGTAGTCCAAATCTCTCCCGTCAACGGTTTCAGCAGGCTCCTAGACTAATGCTGGGTTTTCAGGTGCCAGGAAGCATTGAGCAGAGATTCTTGAACTGTTTAGTCAACTGCACAGTTTTGTGTGGTGCAGGCAAAGCAGCTTGGGTCTCCAGCAGTCCACTATCTTTGCATGACATTTTCCTCTGAGCTGGGTATACTCATTTGAGCACAGTGGTGGGTGAAAGTGGCCAAACTTCTTGGCTTGTGTGATGCCACGTATCAGGATCAACAGCTAACCAGTATGGCTTTTTTCCAATATCTATTTTAATTTGCTGAGTGTTGCCTATCCCAGCACTGCAATATTAGATCCCTGTATGAGGGACTTATAACCCTTTGTCTAGATGCACTTAGTCTGAATTAATCTAACTGAAATCTGTAAAAAACCATCTTTGTTGTATTGTGCACCTGTTGCCTAATAAATCTGTTGTCCTACTGTAAGTGTACTATGTTTCATGTCAGCTGTACTGGACAGGTGTAGAAAACCCTTAAATGTGTGTGATATCAGTAGAACAATTGTTAGAGCCTTGGCAGCTCATGTGCAGCTTACTTATTCATAGTAGGCCTGCAAGACTCATTAGAACTCATTAAAAAGGAGGTGACTGATGGACAACTTGAACAAATTTTACTGTAAATTTGAGCTTAATTTTTTATAACTCTAGTATGTCCTTGTTTGCCCTCTGAATTTGCATCTTAAGTTGATATGGAAGGACTCTTTTTTTTTTCCTCTCTCATAGTGGTTTCAGTGCTAATGAGAATCTTAAAATGATCTACACTCAGTTAATACCTTTCAGTATAGGTCTGAGATAACAACGGTGAGATGAATGTTAGTCCAAAAAAATGTAAGTATCGGGATTCTGTAGCAGTGGAAAAAAACCACTGTTTTTTATTGGTGGCTGATGTGGTCTAGAGGATCTCTTAATCTTGTCACTTGGAGAGGAAGAAAGAGGTCCAGTACAGAGCATCCTTTGCAAGTTGACAAATTAAGACTGATATCATCTTGCATATCATGTGTTAGGCAAGGGCTCATGCAAATCCTTATTAGCCAAAAGAAAATGCTGTAACTTGCTGCTCGTGTTTCTGCTGTGACTCACTGTCATCATTGACTGGCAGCACGTTCCTTGTTGTGCTTTGAAGAACAATGTCCCTCAAATACAAAGGGAGTTGTAAGCTGCTGGTTTAACCCTATTGGCATTGCTGGAGCTTACCAAGCTTTGTTCTTGCAGTTGGCAGTCTATTGCTATTAAGTGGCTGTTGTTCACATGCAGTTTCTGAGTATTTTGTGAGAAAGTAGATCTGTTGAGGATAAAGCAACAGTTAACAAATTTTATCTGTGCTGTCTGTCTTCAGATAGCCAGGAATCTACTCCTTTAGTTGCCTAGATAAGCAAGCGCTCAAAAGCACAAGTGTCCTTTGACTTAAATTCCACGGTTTGACAATTGTTAGTGAACAGACAGTCTAAATGCTGAGATGTTATTTTTTATGATAACTGCACATAACTTCTGAGTTGTATTCGAATTCAGAAAGCTCCTTCAAGATATGAAAAAGACATGTATTTTTACCCTGAGGAGCCTGTTGAGTATTTAGCAGCATGACTATTGTAGAGGCATCTAAACGGTGAGTGTTATGAACGTATGCTAAACAGCAGAATAGACTACCATGCATGTCAGAAAGAAATTGTCCTGTCTGCTTTTAGCTGTAATGGAGAACAGTGTATTTTGTTTTGGTGTGGCTGTGTCAGACATTTGTTGTGGGCACACAAGTGGGCCCAGGTCTGGGAAAAATGGTATGCCTCAGGAAGTGTTTAAAATGTTGCAATTACTGCTTTAGTGTTGGTATCTGTGGAATTGTAAAGTACAAAAGAATCTTGTGATGATAGGTATTTTTTAATGCTTACTGGTTTGTTCTGAGCAGGTTTAATATAACAAAAACAGTTGCATCTATAGGAAACAGGCTGTCAATTTATTTGTTAGCGTGAATATGGTTGTGATAAGAAGTTTAGAGAAGATCCCTCGCGTGGGCATAAAAATACAATGAAAAGTTTATTTTTTTGCAAATGTTTAATTCCAAATGGCTGCGGTGGGATCCTAGACTCTTATGGAAGTGAGCATGAAAAGCAGACCTTTTTATAGGAGGCTCTTTCTGCTCTGCTGGCTTCCAGGTAGGGGTGCTATCCTCTGGCTTTGTGGTGAAAATACACTGGAAGCCCCTGCATTCCCAGCATGTTCCATTCAGTGTCTGTAGTGCAAGTTGCAGCTCAAGACCTTAGTGTCCTGAAAGTGTATCTTCTGTCTTTGGATGGAGTATCTGTTGTGGCATGTCACCGTTGTCTTTGGTGAGGATGAAATAAAATTTCTTTTTGGTTAGATTGGGAATAGAAAGAAATCTTACTTGCAAGGAACAGACTAAAACTGCTCTTTGGAGGATAAAAGCTAACTGTAGTTTGTACTTTAATTTGAAAAAATAAACTAGTCTGTAAATGGAGTGCCATCGTACAGCTAAATAGAAACTTTTTAATAGTTCTTCTTGTATGCTCATCAGAATTAATCCAAAGCAAAGCAAGTGAGCCAATTTCAACTTGTTGCTCTGCCTTTGCTGGTCACGTATTCAGAAGAACCTGTGGCATGTTCAGTGCTATGTTATTATGAACTTCATTCATTTTGTTGAGCTGCCTCGCTTGTTAACTCCCGATTCCTTGACTAAGAGATGACAAACTATGTGAGAGAAGTTCTTGCTCTCTAAGGTCCTTCACTGTAGGGTCAAATGTGTCTGGCGCGCCATGTTGAATGCTACTGTAGTAACCACAGTTGCAATGGGTCAGGTGAGCAGAAGCCATGAAATTGCAAGATGCGATGCGGGCACTGTGGCCTTTAAAACCATAAATGCCATTTTTGTCTGAAAATATTTTCAGTCTGGTGGTAAATGATGTCTAGAATTATTACAGCTGCAAGTGCATGAACTTTCTTTGGCTAATGAGTCAGTTTCTTATTTGTGTACATCTTCCTGTAGCAACAGGGCTGAGAGGGGAAGAAGCTCAAAAAAATGCAGAAAGTAGGTCAGGGATAAATCTAAGACTTAACATAACTCTTTCAAAAAATGATCCTATATTAAGATTTATTTTAGTATTCTTATTTATGCTGTTATGAAAAGATTCCAGGATATAATGTAACATGAGTTCTTTAATACCTTAAAACACACACATACCCCCCAAAGCAAAAGAAGACAGGCATGGATTTAGCTTTTTAATATTTTGGGCTTCAGCAGGTTATACCACAGTTAGTTAACTTGAACAGGTAATTTAGAAACAGAATTTGTTATGCTTGTCTTAAAAATGTGTTACTTAATAAATATTGTTAAGTTTCGTAAAACTAAAATAAAAGCTATATTCTTTTTCTCTGGGGCATGTCTGAGAAACTTCTTGTTCTATGACTGTATCAGTGATTTTTCTACACCAGACACATAAATTAATCGACTGTATTCTAGTATGTTTTTTTCTGTAGTAAAAGAGTTTTCTGATTGCTAAGAAAATGAATCTCATCATTATTTAGAAAGAGAGTTGAGTTCAAAACTTGGCACTGTGTTTTCTAAGCATTCAGACCTGAAGCCACAGATAAAACGTTTTGTTGTTATTGTAATCCACAGTTTCTGTACAGTCTGCCTAGGGTTCTCTTTTCACGGGTATGCAATGTTACACACTTTTTTTTTTTTCCTCCCTATAGGTCCTTATCAAAATGGGCTTATTGGTTTACAGAGTTGTAGGAGCCTTCACTTTTAAAACAGCTGCCTTTCAGATATATTATACGCATACAAAGGAATAGCAGAATAGCGTGCCTAAAGTTGCAGAGATAAGCACTTAAAAGTTAGGAGTCAAGTTTACAGTAGCACAATAAAAATGGATTTTCTTCTTGTGTGGACATTACTGTGCACTTTATTACATGATAACATACTGTTTTCTAATCCTCCCACCCCCAAATTTCTTGCATCATGCAGTGCATGGGACGGAGAGTAATTACTGAATGAGCATCTATTTAGTAATTAATTTCCTTGTAGTTCTCTCTCTGGTCTGTGGCATTGTTACTGTTATTCAAAGTTTGCTCTGGTAAAACGGTTACTAATTTTGGTGGGTTTTCCTGTGGCATCACGCCTGTGCTCTCTGAGGATTTTTTGGCCCCTGTTGCATGCAGTTAGGCTTATCTTACGACTTCATGCTTCCCAAGGAGCAGGCAGTGACAGCCTCAGAACTACAAACTCCTTGCTGCCACTTACAGTTCTTATCCCACACCTTACGCTGGAGCAGCCATTGCGTGTTATCCTGCAGTCCTCATCTGTGGCACACATCTTTGCTCTGGGACGACAGTGCAGGGCTGTCAAACTGCCTAGGATGGGAAGAGAAAGTCAGGCCAGCCTGAAACAGGTATTAGAGTGGGCTGAAGAAATTGCCTGTGATCGCAAAGTAGTAAATGAATGTAAATATATGCTCAGCACAGAGTTGATTAAATTGTTTCCCTCTCTGTTTGCAGTGTAGACTTGAATCTCAGCAGAGTTAAAGAATGTTGATACTGGGAGTACAGGTCTGAATGTGTGGTGTGGCTTGCATATCGTGCTGTATGCTTCCTTTTAGGTAGGAAGTAACTTGGAACACCACTGAATTTTGTAACCTATTTCACAATGAAATTTCTATTGTGGCTTGCTGTGGGAACGCAGAAGGAAAAATCCAAGTGATTTTATGTAATTTAATTTCTATCTGCTGTGTGTATTAGTTAAGAGAACAGTAAGAGTTGTTGTACTGGGAGCCACATTTAGAACATATTTAGAGTAAACGTAACCTTCCTTTCAGACTTGGGCTGAGTTTTAAAGTAACAGCTTGTCAAATATACCGCCACTTGCTCTCAGTAAAAATATTTGCGCTCCAGTTCTGGTTTGTGTATCCACTGAGTTACACACAGTGTATAAAGAGGGGTGATGTTAATCATCTTTAATCAAATTGAACTTAAATCATTAGAAGCAAAAACCTAACAAATGGTGCAGATGTTTTTGCTCTATGAATATCGGAGATGGAGGTTGGTTTCTGAGTGATTGGAGAACTCTGAGAGAAGAGCTTTTCTGGCAGTAGGAGTATTTAAGAAATTCTCTCCCTTATATGGCTCTACTGGTAAGCCTCTCCTCAGGAGAGTGCCTGTAGGGTATTTCTATTCTATTTGGATGCTTATTTTTATGCAGGAACTAAGGCTGGCACCCATTATCTGATTCACTCATGCCATGATTGGAAACCAAGCCTTAAATGAGGAGCTGTACTGCAGCTACTGGCCTGCCCTCCAGCTTTTCAGTTAAAAAAATCATGTTGATGCTAAAAAGGATCAGATTGGCGTGAAACTTCAGCAGATATCAGGGGAAAAAGGCTGATGAAATGAAAAGATGCTTCAAAGTTTGTCTTACAGCAGTCTGAGTGTAGTTTGTGACACTAGCAGTGGACGAGGGAGGAGAGAGAGAAATATGGTCAAAGGGCAGCATTTACAACTGCAACAAATCCTAGATGATCTTTTCGGTGTGTGTGATTCAGCAGGTGAGACCTAGTGAATCCCTCAGCTAACTGTTTTAAGACATTGCTGCCTCCAGTTTTTTATTCTTCCAGCCTCTCTGAGGAGGGAAAGAAGGTATGTATTCTCATACGTCTGTTCACTTCGTTGTCTGGCGCATTAGCTGGGAACTGCCCATGTGACCACTGAAGCTGGACTGTGAAAGAGGAATAGCTCAGACATGGCAGATAATTCTGTATTTTCTTCAGTGACATCTGAGGAAGAGGAGTGTTTAGTATTTTCTGCAGCTGCGTATTTACTGAATGAGAAACATGGCTCTTTGATTGAAGAGGGTCTTTTTATATCTGATTCCTTGTAAACTACAATATTTGATAACTGCTCTGTAAGTTTAGAGGTTGCATGCGCATGCTGATTTCTCCAGAAATGCAGACAGTCAGCAGGCAAGGTCTGTTTAGCAAGGCCAAATTTTCCATCTGCTGCTAAAAATGACAACTGTGGCGGCCCAGCACTTTTTATCAGCCTGAGGTTGGATGAGCAGGTTGTGTGAGGTTTTAAAAGAGTTAGTAATTTATCTAGTGTATGGAAGGCAAAACGTGTTTGCTTTTCTATGCAAGTTTTACTCATCTTGTTCAGTAGGTCTTTTCACAGAGTATTTTTCTTTTATTATATATATTCTGCTGAGTCAGCTCGGGTCTTACAGGCTACATGTCCGTCAGGTGGAAACTTTTTCTATTTGAACTGTTTTGAAGGCTCATTTGTTTTCACGCTTTTAGTCTCTGGTTCTTCTGATCACTACTTGTAACATTAAAACCTGTCTAGCTTTCTAAAGAAAAATCACTGCCCTGTTTGATACCATTGGAGTGAATCTGTTTAAAAGCTGCTCTGCTCTCTTACGTGCTTGCAAGAGAGAGTCCGTTGTGTTTTTCCAGACATTGGAAGGAGAAGGGTTTTCAGAAGTCCATCCTGGAGTTTGGCACCCAGATCCATTTTATATCTTTGAAGATCAGCCCTTAGGTGCACCTTTTGCTTGCTGTGAAACTTTTATTGGAACTGATCGCTCACTTTTCTTTTTCAGAGCCCTCTTGATAGAGCTCAAGCAGCCAAGAACAAAGGAAACAAATACTTTAAAGCAGGAAAATATGAGCAAGCTATTCAGTGTTACACTGAGGCTATTAGCCTGTGCCCTCCTGAGAAGAACCTTGATCTTTCTACCTTCTATCAGAACAGAGCTGCTGCCTATGAACAACTGGTAAGAAATTAAACTTAATCATGTTTATTCTAAAAAGTTACAATGTAAGTTATATGTTTTGACATTTCTGTCCACTGAAGTTTCCCAGATGGTGATATCCACTGCCTTTGAAACAGGCTGCCATTGCTTGCAGCTATAATTTTTCACTAGCTCATCATACTTTTCCACATATATTTAAAATTATTTTCTGTTAACTCGTCTCAGTCTATCTTATGAAATTCTTATGTGTCTTCCTAGTCCCTTTCTTGTAAGGCAAGGTAGTCCTTTTCTTGTAAGGCGAGGTTTTAATTTTTTATCCTCTGGAACAGCCTTCTTGCATACCTGTTAGTTCTGCTTCTCTCTGTGAATGTGTGTCTTTGTATCTGTTCGGTGAAAGTTAAATATTTTGGTGGGATGCTACTTCAAAAGCTAATACAAAACTACGCACGTCCTACAAAAGCCCAAATTTTGTGTATGTGGAACTAACATTTAGTTGTTAGCTATGTATACTTGATAGTTGTTTTAGAAATGGATTAATGTTTTTTATTATGGTATCAGCAAACTTACTTCTGAGGTCAAATTGGAGAGCTGGGAAGAGCTCAAGAGTGGGAAAAGTGGCTTTGCATGGTCTAAAGTATCAAGTGAGAGACTGGGTGCTTGGAGAAATTAGCCGTGAAAGTTAAGGAGGGATAAAACACAGTTCTTATCTAAACAAATGTTACTTATGACACTAATTTATGAATAATGAATGCCTAAGAAATGTATGTGGTTCTTCTCTTCCAATTATTAGAAAAGCCTATTTTGATATTTAATTTTTAATATTATTTTTTTATATTTAATAAGGTTTTATTTTTTTAATAGCCTAGACCAGCTCTACTCCTACATATTCATATATCATCCCTTTGAAGTAATTTAGTATAGTAAATTAAAATAACAATAGTACCTTAAAATAACATTGTATTTTAGCACTTGGTTAACCTTGTGTGTTGCTTTTTGTTATATTTTCATCTTATTTCTGCCATCTGTTGTGTGCCAGTCTTTCAGTCCCATCATTAGCTCCTGCAGGTATCTCTGTATCAACTCCTTCTCTTCCATATGCTTCGTACAACTGTCTGGTTTCATTTTTTTCTGTAAGAATTCCTTTTCTGTTTTGTGGCTCTTCTGGTGCAGGTGGCTTCCAGTGGTGGCTGGCAGTTTCTTACTGAGAAACTTGCAGAAATAGAAGCAAGCAGGTAGAACCAGAGCCCTGGGAACTGCAGCCTCTGTTAGGTGGGCACGACCCCGGGGTTGGTAGCAAAAGCTAATATAATGCAGCTTTCTGAGTAGGACCTCCTTCATCATGCTCTTCTTCTGCCCACAGCAAAAATGGACAGAAGTGGCACAAGATTGCACAAAGGCTGTTGAGCTTAATCCTAAATACGTAAAAGCTCTCTTCAGACGCGCCAAGGCTCATGAGAAGCTAGACAATAAGAAGGAATGTTTAGAAGGTGAGTGTCTCTTGGTGTGTGCACTTAAAAGTGGAATTAGTTAGCTCAGGCACTTTGGAGACAGTAATACTTCTGTGATTGTTTAGTTTTTTTTCCTTCTGTAACTCCGGTAGTACACAATTATGTATTTAAAAAACATTCCTAGCTACCACAAATGTTTTCTTCTATTGTAAGAAGAAACTTTTTTCTGTTTTTTAGCTTAGATCTGAAACAGTTGCTGAGAAATTGATCTTACTGTAACCATATAGGATATCCTGTTTCCAGGAAACTCCCTACGTTTTAAAGCAGAATTCACCTAACGTGCTGAGGCAACAGTCATTCTAGTTCCATGCCATAACAAACTTTCTTCCCTATCCATTGTAGAGAAATAGAACTCCTCTAGGAGGAACCAAGGCGTTTCTGCAGGTAGAGAGATGCAGTCAGAAGCTACAGTATGACAGTCATTTAAATTCATTTGGCAGGAAATTAAAGGAAAAACCATTTCAGTAGTATTTCTTTCTGATAATTATTTTTTTTATATTAACATTATGTATTTGGCAGAGTGTAGTGTATCAAATCCTTGCAAATATCCCCTAACAGAACGCATTACAAACTGTCAGGAGGATGTGACTGAAAAGCCATCAAAATTAAGGAGAATTAGAGGTCAGATGTGTTGTCCAAAGGTACCTCTGAACTAAGTGGCACTGTTTGAAAATGTCCATTTAAATTTCATCAACTGAAATTACTCCTGCTGAAGCAAGATTAAAAGGCAAATGAAATTTTCAGCTGTGTCAATGCTTATTATCAAAGAAGAAATAAGGTGGTGTTCTGGTAGCTGGTGAATCTAACTGTTAAGGAAACTAGATCAGTTTTATTATGTGTAACAGCTAAGAATTAGATCTGCTAAACTACAAGATGAATGAGATGAGGAAAATCTGTGCACTCTGTCTTTTTGTTGTTGTTTTTTCTCCTTTCTCCACTGGCAAGTTGCCTTTCTGCCCTGTAGGAGCATAGGGTCTAGAAGGGGTTGCTTAGGTCATTGAGTCCAGTCCCTTGCAATCGCCCAGTGACTTCAGAAGAGTCCGTAGAACACTTGCTAAGTACACCACTCCCTTGCTGCAGAACAGCTGCGCTTCCGGAGTCCTGTAACAAAATCTAGACCTTCTGTAGTTGTGATAAGCTGACAGATGACAAAAGATGCAGGAAACATTAAGGGTCCCTGCAACAGCACGATAATTTTTAAATGTAATTTTCTGATAATGCTAGTAGCAGTAATGTTTGTAGCAATTGTTTTCAACTTGTACTTCATTTTTAGCTTGCGGTTTGTTTCAGATCTGAAAAAACGTCTGATGCGCTTGAAAATTGTCTGCTCTTTCTGAACTGCCTAAGTTTTCTAAGAAGATGGTCCCTGATACTACCAACTGTGTGGGGCCAGTAGAATCTCAGGAAGTGGGGTACATCTGTGCAATAGAGGAAAGCAAAGGAAAAACTCTGGTGCTCCCTGGTAGTATGATCTGTAAAGACGCTGCTGCCTCACCTGAGTCTGGGCGCTGGCTTACAGCTGCCTGTGTTGGGCAAAGCATATTGGCCAGGCACATAATATGGTATAATAGAGTACTAGTGTGCTCTGTCTTGCACACTGCTTCTGGCTGTAGTATTTTTTTCCCAGGGATTCCTCTGTGCTTCTTGACCATGCCAGAGTTAGGGGGAGTTTTGATAGAAATGATCACATAGTAGTCTCTGTAGCAGTGCAGGGTTACAGAAACTGTACTGAAAGTCTGGGATGGAACAGTCGCTTTTCATTGCAATGCACTGTTTGAATTTAAAATCCAAACTCTGTTGATCTTCAGTTAATAACCTTACGCAGTGACTTCATGGGAATGGTATTTTAGGCTTCTGGTAAGCCTTTTTCTAGGATTTTTCTTTTTAATTTATTTCTGTGAATGGGACCGGGTGTTATATAGAAATTAAATAGGGAAAATCAGTGGTAGTATTACATTACTCAGCAAAATTTGAGGACCTAGCGAAGCAGTGATAATGTGCCAAAAGGGCTCATTTAGTGCTGCAAAACATTATTCAGGCAACAGTGGGTTTACAAGTGCAGAGGCTCTGTGATACGGTGTGGGCTAGCACTTTAGATGAGTCAGCAGGGAATTTCTTTCTAACTTACTCATTCCCAAAGGCACAGAGGTGAGCAGAAAAATTTGTGATATAATATGGGAAGATTTCTCAAACTGAGAAAGGAGCGAGATGTGATTGGACTGAATTTGAATTTTAAAACCAGAAAATTAGGACCAATTAGGAAGAGAAGCTGTGTTAGCACTTTTTAACATGAACATAATTTGAATGTAATTACTGTCTTCAAAGTTACAAAATGTTGAAAGCCCCCATTGGAGGTACGGAATTTCACTATTCATTTAAGGATGTTTGTAGATTTAAAAAACAAAACAAAACAAAACTACCTTCGTCTGCTGTGGTGAAATCCTTTTAGGAAAAGAAATCACTTTGAACGCAAATTTTGTATTTTGGAAAATATGGCAAATACAGCAACTAGAAATGTGAAGGCTTTCATCCATGAATAGGATGTGCATTAGTTTGACAGAGACTCATTGTACTAGTTGTGCATTTTGCACTTTAAAAACGACCTGTGATGGTTACTAATCTCACTTTTATGTGTTGTTCCCTAGATGTCACTGCAGTTTGCATTTTAGAAGCCTTTCAAAACCAGCAAAGTATGTTATTAGCTGATAAAGTTCTTAAACTCCTTGGGAAAGAAAAGGCCAAAGAGAAATATAAGGTAAGACTTGTGATATTGAGGACAAATTCTGATTCTGCCTGCCTGATTGTTGACACATTGATTGTTAGCATTTTGTCAGTTGTTATAAGCAAGTCACTGCCTTCAGTTGGTGACAACAGTTTAGTGTGAATCTACTGTTTTACTTATGATGTTTTCCACTGGGACATGTACTAGGCTTTTTGAAACCTTTTTAGGAAGAGAGGCCTATTTCTAACTTGTACAATCTTCTTACAGATTTGAGTAAAATGATTGATTGTTTTCCCCTTAGACTTTGAGTTGTGTATAGTATTAGTCAAATTTACTGCTACATTCAGGATACATCCGAACTAAGTTTGTGGGATGCCTTACTTAAGACCTTTCGGGAATTGCAACATAATGGAAACAGGATAGGTATCAGCATGTGTTAGAACAGCAATAGGGATATAGTTTATATGGGCCAAATGTTCAGTCACCTATCAAGTGGCTGAGTTAGTTATGATACGTGTTGAGACAGGAAGGGTTATAAATGGTCATCAAAAATGTCTTAACAATTTTGGTTCCGTATGTAATGACTGACGTAAAATGCGAAGGAAGGTTGAGGGCTTTTTTTCCCAAAGTTGTCCTTATTTTATAAATAGAAATTTCATATAAGTTAACAGGGGAATTCCTAGGTTTTAAAAAAAATGAAGAAATAAGTGTTTAGTGTGGGTTTTTTTTTTTTTTTTAATACATAAGAAAACATGATGCAGTATGAACTCTGACCTTTTTGTTAGTGGTCAGATTTCCTGATTCTGTCTTGAGAAATAAGCCTTCATCTTGATGGATTAGTTTGTGACATTCGATCACAGTCTCTTTCTGCTCCATCTCTGTAAATAGCTGCACATACTTGTACTTTTCTGCTTGGACACGCTCAGATTTCTTTGTATTAAAGTCTGTAAACCACAGCAATGAGAATTATAGAAGTATAAGGGTAACTAGCAGCTGTAGTTCTAAGTGGCTGTGTGTAGGTTTACAAACAAGTTAGGAGAGGCATCAGAACATTCTCACTTGTTATTTGTGAATATGTCTGAAGTACTTATCCACATTGGTTTTGAGATTCTGAATTTCTTTCCTATAAATGCTAGATAATTGTGGAGAGTCAAGGTAACAAGTGGCTGAATTGTGCCTCTGGAATGATGGTGGTAGCATCATAAAATAGAGTGTGCTTCAAATAGGCAGTGTTACGGTAGAACTTAATAGAAAATTCAGAAGAGTGAGTTCAGACTTTTCTTACAGGAAAGACTGAATTGTAAATCTTGTGTGCAGCGGTCGTTTTGAACGAGAAACTTTTTTCTGCTCTACAAAGGATTTTGCACCTAAGAGGTGTTTCTTCTCAGTTTTAAAGTAAAATGTGTAGTATCTGGGCCAAGCACCAGGCAGAATTAGGATATTGCCTCATTAGTCTTCATTGTAATGACAGCTTTTCTTAGACGAGCTAGAGAAAAGTAGATTCTGAATGGCAATTTGACCTTGAATGCAAGTCAGGGTTTAACTTGTAGGTAGTGTATGCAGGCCAATGCTTAAACTACCAGCTTGTGTCTTTCAGCCAACTCATATGCACATGTACTACTTCAATACACCCAGCTAATGTGTTAATCATAGGAGTCCTCATTTCTAGCCACGCATGCAAAATGATCCCGTGCAGAATGATCCTGCCTCCTTCCTTCCCTCTTGAATATCTTCATTTTGTTCCCACTGGTGATGGATATTAAGTTCTGATCTGAAGCTTAAATAATCCCTGAATGGCAAACTATCAAATCAAAAATATGAAACCATCAGTGAGATTATCAGTGGAAAGTCATAAATTTTTTCTTTCCTGAATGATTTTTTTTATCATCGTGTTTCTTTATCCATTTCCTCCTTTACCAGCTGATCTTACTATCTAGTGACTTAAAAGGATGTTTCCCTTTGTTTCAGAATCGTGAGCCTCTGATGCCCTCACCGCAGTTCATTAAATCCTACTTCAGCTCTTTCACAGATGATATAATCTCCCAACCTTTGCCAAAGGGTGACAAGTCAGATGAAGATAAGGATAAGGAAGGAGAGGCTTCCGAAGTAAAAGAAAAGTGAGTGTACGGTACAGTTGGAAATTGTTAGGTATTGGAATTAAGTTCTCAGTGATTGTGATACTCTGCTTGTTGTAACTTGCTGTTGTTTTATAATGCTTGAATGGGAAATCCTGTGGTACTAAAGTAAACCTGTGGAATAAGATCAGTGTTAAAAATGAAACTTTTGTGAAAGCCAACGGGCTAGTTCCAAAGTGTAGGTGGCTTTGATCCGTTAAGCAGAGGAAGACAATGAAATCAGGAAGACATGCTGAATGTTTATTATGGGACCATAGTAAAGCTTAGGAGGTGGGAGGATGGGAAGACAGCTGAATGATGTTTCTGGAAAAAGGGATATTTTACACGAAAGGAGAGTTTCCAAGGAAGAGAGCAAAATTAGCCTTTGGATTGGAAGAGAAAACACAAGGTTAGGAAAAAGTTCTGTGTTAATGAAAACTCTGACCTACAGCAACTGAGGCTGAAAGGATATTTATCTTTTTAGAATCAGATTGCATCTACATGAGAGGTTTGTTCTGACAAAGAAAAGCTTAGAAAAGCTTGAGGGGATTCTCCCCCCCCCCCCTTTTTTTGGAGCAGAGCTTGAGCACCACTTGAATGATGGTACTTTAACTTACTATATACTGCTTTCCAGTTTATTTTTTGGAAGGTACTACTGCTTTCAGTATGGAAACCATTGCAAACAGCATCATGATTTTTTTTTATTATTGTTTTTTTAAGCAAGATGGAAGGTCATGATCTACAGGCAGATTGGAATCCAGGACGCTTAGTTGAGAACAAGGCAGTATTTATTCTAAGTTTTGCTCTTTCATATGTAAAGTGCACATTGCTAACTCTTACATTTCATTTTTTTGACCTGGAATACCATGCCAGCCTTTCTGTTTTAAGTTGGAGATTATAGCTGTCCTTACTGTGACAAAAATTCAAGGGACAAATGAAGGTCAGGGTGGGGTGGAAAAAAGTCTTCCTTCTTTTTCTTTCAACTGTAATTTGGGCATTTTTTTGTCTAAATTGCTTTGAATCTGTGATGACTCCATCCAGGAATATAATGGAATATAATACTTAGTATAGAAGAAGTGACTATTTGTTATGATTAAAAAAAAAAAAAAGGCTTAACTGAAATCGGAGTGTTCAGCGAGTGCTTATGTATATACAGCTGTTCTCGCATCATTTACAGCTCTGGCTACTTGAGAGCAAAACAATATATGGAAGAAGAGAACTACGACAAAATTATCAGTGAGACCACAAAAGAAATTGAAGCAAAAGGAAAATACATGGCAGAAGCTTTGCTCCTGCGAGCTACCTTCTACTTACTTATTGGCAATGCAAATGCCGCCAAACCCGACCTAGATCAGGTTATCAGCATGGAAGGTGCAAATGTGAAGGTAAGAATCTATCACAGCTGGATTGTAGTTTGGGATGAGAAAGCATGAAAGTTAGAGGATAGACTTGCAGTGTAGTTCAGAGCTTGTTTTTCCAACTTTTCAGGCACTTTAATGGAAGCGTTCTGTTTTCTTACACTGTTATGTTGTTTTATTCCTGGAGAATTGTATTGTCAAGGCATTTTTTTATTTCTGAGACAGCTGTGCTAAGTAGTAGAAACTAAAGAACAGAGGAAGTGGAATCGATTAGAGGTTTATCTGAGCTGAAAAATCTAATTCATAAATAAAAGAAAAACATTAATTGTACTTGTATGTTGAACTACTAAAAATGCTGATGTATTTGAAACCATAGGGGACATAGCTTTTAAAAGGTTCTTCAGTTGGTGGAAAGCCATTGAAAATATAGGTTGACTGACTTGCAATTAAGCAAGGGATTCCTTTGTATTGATTGATGTAGACTCAACATGAAATTTATTCCTGCTTAGAATGAATGAAATTTATTAGTGGGAGAAACTAAACAAATGAAAAAGTTTATTTTAATTGCAACCAAGTCCTAAATCTGGACGAATGCTGGAGTACCTAATGTTTATGTGAACTTTTTTTTCTTTTTATAGCTCCGAGCCAATGCTCTGATCAAACGAGGAAGTATGTATATGCAGCAGCAGCAGCCTGTGCTGTCCACTCAAGACTTTAACATGGCTGCTGATATTGATCCTCAGAATGCAGATGTTTACCACCATCGAGGACAAGTAAAAAATATTATAGAGATTTTGTCCTAATACTTGAATATTCAGTATATACTAAAAGAAAAGATCAGATCATCAGACACACTTTATACTGTTTGCACTAGAAAAGTGTGAATTCCTAACTTGGAATTGTAATATAAAAGATGCTTGACGAGAAAGCAAACATTGCCATATACAGATATGCTAAGTTGTATTGATAAAGAAGACCTCTAGAGATCAAGTGTCTCTCTCCAGGAATGTGTTAGATCTCTTTAGAGCTCACAGATAAGAATGGTGTTATTTGATGTTTGAAGGGGATGAAACGCTTCTGCAGTTTGAAAAGTGGCATTTAAAAATAACTCCTCAGTAAAATAAGCGAATGACAAAGTAAGTTTTACTCATGTGGAGGACGGAGAATGTCAGGAAAAAATACTGAAATGCAAATTTGAAAAATTAAAATATTTTAAACTTCCATATAGTTCACATTAACTACAGTGAGGCAAAGTGACTTGAGAAAATACAGCACAGTTATGGAGACTGACGATAATGTATAGAATCTATGCTAAAGCAGTAGTGGAGACACAGCAGTCTAAAATGCAAACATTCTCAATCCTGACCTGTGGACATTGCCTTTTTGTGTACAGAGCCAAAGTTTCACCGGTGACTCGGGTATGTTCTGTCAGTTTACGTCGCAGGTTTTTTAAGTCTCTAGATAGTTCTGAATGTGAACTGGAGGTAACTTTAACTGACTCTAATTGAAGTATCACTTACATGTATGAAGCACAGATTAAATACAGAAATAGGATTCTCTTTTATTCTGGTTAGTTGAAAATCCTGCTTGACCAAGTAGAAGAGGCTGTAGAAGATTTTGATGAATGTATCCGATTGCGACCTGATTCTGCCTTGGCTCAAGCACAGAAATGTTTTGCTCTGGTAGGTAACATGCTGGTGTTTATCTGGGTGTTCTTTCTTTGAAGCGCTTCTTGAAAATGTGGGTTGGTTTTTTCTTTCCCCTCAGATTTTCTTCCAAATTAATTGTAAAGAAGTACAATGAACATTTTAATATTTTATTAAATATCTAATAAGGTAAAGAACTACTGCAAAAGAGTTTCTTCAGTTTGAGTAAGGGTTTACCACTTCTATTTTTCACTGTTCGTTATTCAAACAGAAGGTGGTCTTTTGTGTTTCATGGCAGAGAAACGCAAAACTTCACTCTAATTATATCACGTAAAGCTTTACTTAAATCAGTTTTGGTGGTGTGGAAAACACAGAGCCATCATCAAGAAAGACGAAACAAACTCTTTCAAGCTAGTCCCTGCATGCAGGAATCTCTTGGGGGCACCTTTGCATGGTGTGACAAAGGATGTATTCCAGGCATTGAAAAGGAGGATGTTCTTGGCATCTACGTGGCCTTATGGCTTCCCTTCTTCACCTTCAATGATTTTTCCATTAATACAAGAGACTTGGAAGTATGGTAGGTTGCTTAAAAACAAATTTGGTAGAGTGCATCAACATATCACCTTCTAGAACTGTAAAGCAGTTGTCATGACGCACACATCTCTCAGGGATATGAGTGGGTCTGATTAACCTTTTTTTTTTTTTTTTTCTTGCTTTTTTTTTTTTTCTTCTTTCATAGTATCGCCAAGCATATACAGGAAATAATCCTTTGCCTGTGCAGGTAGCTATGAAAGGCTTTGAAGATGTCATAAAAAAATTTCCAAAGTGTGCTGAAGGCTATGCACTCTATGCTCAGGTACATTTTTCTCTCTCTCTCAAAAAAAATACTGCATTCTCATGGGCCTTTTAGCTTGGATAACAAACATTCCTTTGAATCCTATTTGAAAAATCTTTGAAAACAAGTGCTGGAATAAAGCACACCCTTTGATAAGCCACCTGAAATAAAGGTTGTAGGTGTTCTGGGGTACAGGAAGCAGACAGAATTAGTGGTAAGTGGAGCAGGTTATAAGGGATGACGGGTAAGGGTGGTTATTAGGGGAGAAAGGTATGGCGTACACTTCCCCTTGAATTCCTGCATGTGTATGAGATCTTACTTGATGAACTGTATGGATTCTCCAGGTTATCTAGGAGTTGAATGTGTGGAAGTAGGGTAACAGCTTTGTTCTACTACAAATGGCATACACTGGGCAAGTAGATTTTTGTACAGGATGTGTAAAATACACTTGTAACAATGTCATTTCTTCTCTAAGAAAATGTGCTGCTGGTTCTAGTACTAAGTACTAGGAGCTCTGATTTTAAGTGGGTAGCCAGTTTGGATGCGTTTCCTTTGAGGTTTGGTATAATTTCGAAAGTGAAAGATAAGAAAAGATGAAGGAGGCTTGAAAAAGGAAGAAGTTGAGACTTGCATGTACGGATTTGTAGAATGATTTTTACTTGCAGAATATTTAACATATGTTGCTTGCGGATCCCCCATTACAGATAGTACTGTGATAATAATCTTTGCACTTAAAGCCTAGCTGCTTTTTTTTTTCTAAAAAGCATCAGTTTTGAAAATAAACTCGGGTAACTCATGTGCTTGGCCTGCTCTGCTCTGCAATAGGAGAGATAAATCCAGAGTCACAACATCAATATGGTTTTAATTAGAATTAGCCTAACACAAAGTGCATATTTTGGTTGCATATTGATGTATGGGTTTCTCTTCTGATGCAGGCACTAACTGATCAACAGCAGTTTGGCAAGGCTGATGAAATGTATGATAAATGTATTGACCTTGAGCCAGACAATGCCACTACATATGTTCATAAAGGGTATGTATCGAGTTTGTGGTTCTTTTGGTCAAGGGCAGTTAGCATACCTAGGTGAATCAAGCATAACTGAATGTCTGTCTCTATAAGTTCAGCCAGGGGGAATAACTCTGAAAACAGGTTAGTGCTGTTAAATGTATTTCTACAACTTTTTTTTTTTTGACTTTTTTTTTTCTTGACTAAACTGTAAATAAGACTGAAGTTTCAGTAAAGTTTCGTTAGTTCTCATTCCTAACGGAGTATTTGCATGAAGTATATCTGACTCTTAATTTAGCTCAATCTCAATTTGAGTTTTGTGCTGAAGTTTTCTCTTTCACAAAACCAGCTTGTAACCAGTCTTCTGGAGAGGAATTTACCTTTCTTTGGAGGTATTAGGCTAGTAACATAGCTTATTAAAAGTGACTTTCACATATGCCATTTTGAAAGCCATGAAACTACCCTCTACCCTACGTTAAGACTTTAACATCTATGTATGGAATTTTTTTCTGCTTGCATGGGCTGGGTTATGCAGATACATGAAGTTTGTTCTAAGTTTTCTTTTTCTCTTTTAGTTTACTTCAGCTTCAATGGAAGCAAGATTTAGACAAAGGTTTAGAACTCATAAGCAAGGCCATTGAAATTGATAACAAATGTGATTTTGCATATGAAACCATGGGAACGATTGAAGTGCAAAGGTAATGCTGAGATGTCGTGTTAAAAATTATAGCAGTCCTTTAGCTTTCTCCATTAATCTTAAACGTTTGTGGAGATTTTCTCCCCAACACAATGGGATGCCAGCTCTTACTGAAAGTCCTGATTTCTGTTCTGTAACTCTTAGGGAAGACCTTCCTTTGTCGGGGCATATTTCTGCTTTATGGTCTGGCAGGTTCCTATGTTTACCAGTTTTGTAGTTCCTGGACAACATGCAGATGAGTCTGTGTATGTGAACATACATCCCTCCTACATTTAAAATAACTTTTTATTAAACATGACTAGACTTCCTGTGTCTCTGATGTATTAAAACGTATCTTACTGTGCCCAAGCCCTTTGTGCTAAGAATCCTGAGCTAGACTCTCGGCCCTGACTACCATCCAACCCTGCAGTTTGCAAGCTCCTAGGGTAAAGAGGAAAGACTAACACACTATTCTACATCAGTGTGTTATGTTAAAATCATGCAAAAGTTTGGTGTAGCTGAGATTATAACAGAAGCTTCTTTACATGTTTAACCATCAAAAGAGCAGACAACTAAACTTCTGCAGTGAAAAATTTTGCGAGCATCTTGTGTCTAAATAACATGAGCTCTTGTCTCTGCTATGGGAGTGTTCCTCTTAAGTGCACAAATTGTTTCCAAGGGGGAAGGGAATCCATTTAGTTGAAAAGTTGAAGACTTCTCTATGATGTCCTGGCATTGTCTGTGTAATCTGCTTGGTGACCATGGAGAATATTTTACCCCTTGCTACCACCTGTTGGGCTCTGAAGGGGAACGCTCTTTAACAGCTGTCCTTGTTGCCTAGGTTGGTACTTAGGTTGTTGCTTAGGTTGCCCCTCTCTTTGCTTCTCGTCATCACAAGTTCTTATGGTGGTTCCTCCTAAGTCCTTTCAAACTGTTAGTAGTGGATACTGTAAGTCCTGTGGGGAAAAAAATGATGGTGTAGCGATGCCACAGTTGCTTAGCTGGTCTTAACTGGACTGCATTTTGGTTTATTTCAGAGGCAATCTGGATAAAGCCATTGAAATGTTCAACAAAGCTATCAACCTGGCCAAATCTGAAATGGAGATGGCCCACCTCTACTCACTCTGTGATGCTGCCTATGCCCAGACAGAAGTTGCAAAGAAGTATGGATTGAAACCACCAACACTGTAAAGAAACAAGAGGAGGAAATGACCTTCTAAAGTGAAGTTGCCCACTTCAGCCAGCCCTAAAGATGCTGTTGCAAACCATGCTGAATGGTGGAACTTAGTTTTTTCCCGTTCGTGGTGTTGTCATTTGTTACATCTGTTAAATATTTAGGTGTTGTGGGAGTGGTTGTTGAAGGAAGTATGCGGTGTTGCAGCTTGTTCCTTTTGCAGCAAAACCTTAAAGTGTGTTAAGGGAAATAAAGTTGCAAGGGAACAAATGGAAGACATTTTGGCCATGCAAATAAAAACTTTACATTGGTTCATTTTGGGTGATTATGTTGTGGGCGATTTTTGCTTTATCAGATAATTTTACGGCATGTTTTTTTTTTTTTCCTGTTGATTTTAAAGGTAATACTAGTCAGTGCTGTACAATAGGTTTCTTTTTTATATGCAATTAATCCTTGAGAGTTGATTTTAATTTTGCAAAAAGGAAAAAATTAATTTACAGAACTGTTTAATAATAGGGTTTTTGTTTTTTTTTTTTTTAAGCCAATAGACGTGGAGAGAATCCCTGTAAATATATCCAAGCATGCACAATTTTCCCTTCAAGCCCCTCCAATCTTCTGCATAACTACTTAGAAACAGTCCTGTGGCAGCTATTAGGGAATTATTTTGACAGTCCTTATCTTTACCCCAGAAGGCACTAGGGTACTGGAGAGAGAGCTGGTACCAAGGCTGTTGGGGGAAAGAGGTCAGGTGGCACTGCTTCAGTGTAGAGGTTGCTGGACAAGAGGCCGCATTCCTGTGCAGCAGTCCTGACTTGAATGTCACAGGAAATTGTTCTGGAAGGTTCAGGGAGACTTTCAAGAACAAGCAGCACTTCTGGCAGTAGAGCTGTCACGCTTGAGTATAATCTTAATGTGTTTCTGACACTCTTGCTTAAAGGTAACAGCCAATAGCCCATCTAAATTCTCTTCTACGGTTTCCGGAGGCTGCTGTGTTCTAGCTTAATCCTTGTAAGAGCCCTTTGCAAGACTAAGTGAGATAAAGAACAGAACTTTGTCTGAAATTTCAAATAAGGAATTTGGAATTTTTACTAGTTTCTTTGTTCTTTAGACTCTGTATTGTCTAAGACTACAAATACTGCAGAAGGGAAGCAACTGTTCTGCAAATAGAATAGTCTGTAATTGGCAAGTTATTAAGGAGTAGTATAAACAGTCTTCCTTTAGCTAGGAACTTTTCAGAGGACTGTGTGCTGCTTTGGATTGGTCTTTTTAGTATTGAAGTTGGTCCATGTTGCCTCTCCCAAATTGTTGTGACTGGATGAACCTTCTTCCCATCCTAAAAATAATAGATTTGCTTGTGCTGAATTTTCTAATGTATTTCACTGTTTTTAAAAAAAAAAAAAAAAAACCCAAGCTGTGGTCAAACTGTCTTGTTCTCTGGTTGTGACACCATACAGCAGCAACTTGTATTTTCAACTTGACCTTCCTCTCTCCCAGCAACTACAAAGGAGAATTCAAATGCTAGACAGTAGACATGAAGGTGTAAGCCTTCTATTTTATCTAGCTCAGTAGGCTATCTGAAATCATAGCGCTGGTGTAGAATTGAAGGCATTGGAAGGTACGGGCAGCCTCTAAGGGCATGGCACTTAACAAGTATCAGACCTCTTCTGGAACTTCTGCTCTCTGCATCAATTACTTGAGAACAAAAATTGGCCAGACTGACTGCTGTGTCCTGTTCTCCTAAGGAGTTTTTATTCGCATGGCCTTATTTACATTGGCATTTTCTCCTCTTCATCCTTCCTTTCCCACTGCCCCCCCCCCCCCCCCACCCCCCAAATCAATTAAGGGAAAAAAAGCATGTGCTGTCTAATACTAGCATTCCAAATCATCACGGATTTTTGCCTGTTCTTGAACTAGTTTGAAACTGCACTGAAAGGATGCATTTGTCTGTAATTTTTTTTTGTAAATGACATATCACCTGTAAACTCAACAAATAAATATTACCTTCAAGTACCTCTCTCTGACATGTATAAGAACAGGTTTTGATGAAAGATTGCTTAATGCTAAGTGAAGCGGCACAAATCTGCAGTAGTGTTCTCTGTGCTTGCTTGAGGATCTGAATCTAGGAAGAGCTGATAATGACTGACTTCCTTTCATCGTCTCTCACTTGAACCTTTAAGAAACAAATGAGGAAGAGACGTAGAATGACTAAGTCTCTGTGATTGCAGAGGTACAATGTTAAGAGCTGAAGATTACAGGGGACAGGAGATCCAGCCAAGAAAGCTGGGAATCCGAGTAGCTGACATCCTGTTAATGTGTATGCAGTTGGCTTTGGCTCAGGCTCCCCTCTAGTATGATAGAAGGGACTGCCTTTTTTTTTTTTCTCTCCCTTTTTTTTTAATGGATGATATAGCTGAGGTTTTGCTTTAAAGCCACGTGTTCATGGGAATTTACTTAACTTTTTTTCAATAAGGGGTTGAGAGCCGTGGTGCGACATGATTGCTGCTATTTTAAAAGAATCTGGTAAAAATCATGTAGGAAGCTAGTCCTGAAGACTAACATAAACCTAATGCATCTCAGAGACTGGGAAGCTGCTTCCATGCATAGTTGTTGTGCCTCTTAATCCTGATTGCATTGAATCCCTGCTGTCCTTGTTTTTGTTTGGACACGGAGAGAAGTTTGCCAAAAAGGAGAGTAGAAGTTGTGATTTGAATTATTAAGATCTAACTGCAGATGAAAAAGTGAAGAGGGACCTAATGTCGACCAAGGAGTAGTACTGTAATTTATTCTGGAACTGTTAAGAGCAGTTGAGCCAGTTTAGTTACAGCTTTGACCAGGCTCCCCAGCTGTGCTGGTAATAACATTCCTGAATACAGATACAGCAGGCATTACTGTATTTTCTGCCTTCCCTTTGAAAAGAACTTACTTAAACTTACGCAGGCTGAACTTCTGGAGCTATTTCACGGTGGTTACTGGCTAGTTTTCTATATTTATAGAACATTGGTGCATATGTATAATATGGTTACTTAAAGTGCCTGTCTTCTGCCAATATAAAAATTGAGTAGTGATTGCTTCAACTGTTGTTTAGCCAAGGATTGATTATTTACTTTTTCATTTGGGGGGAAAAAAACAAATCGCAGTCTGCTTATATCCCTTCAGAGAGTATTGCTTACTGGAGACACTTAAAAAGCCTTGCTAAAACAAGGTGCTTGGTTGAAAACTGTCCTGATTGATGGACACTGAATTGGGACTGAATTTGTCATCTCTTAACATAATTCACCAAAGAAGAAGTCCATTTCAAATTGTCATCTGTTCTCACCCCTTTGGAATCCCAAGGGAGGAGATAGTCTGTGCACATGCATGGACACTTTCATTTTGTCTGGTGCAGCCTGCACTTTACATTGTCAAAATTAAGGAGCGGTCAGCTCTTGAGAATCCTGCACTTCTTTAATCTTCCAAAGACAGTGTTTAGTTTCTGCATGTTGAACTTGGGGGCTGGGAATAGGAGCCAGGTGCATTAGTACAGAAACATGGATCTACAATAGCTGCTATGATTCAGAAGTTGGAGCCCAGTGATCGCTGACACTGCTGACTGATTGTTGAATATGTGGCAGGCACCAATCTAACGCAGGAGACCTGACTCAGATGGTGAATTGTTAATTTTTTATATTTATTTTTCAACTAATAAATTTTCACTTCACCTTAGGCTCTGTGGCTTTTTTCTTAGAGTTCTGCTACAGTCTGATACTGAAATGCAGTGATTAGCACAGATAGATAGATACAAAACGCTCGCTGGAAGAGATCTGGCACTGAATGTGGAATAATGCGACCTGTCTTTTGAGGGGAAGGAAGCCCTTAGTGTTCAGCTTAATTTAATCATTGATTTCCATAAAGGTGGCTGGGGCCTCTAGAGGCCACATCTAGCTCATTCCAGAGAGGTCAAAAGAACATCAAAGAACTATGTCAAGACAACAGCTATGGGAGGAGGATGGCAGACAAACATGAGGGGAAAAAAAAAAAAGTAAGGTGGCTTGAGGGAAATAGGTGGAGGCTAGATAGAAAAACATCCCTGCCTACCTCTTTTTTTGTATTTTGAAATCTCCTTTACCCTCATTGCTTAGTCTATCATTTCTGCTGCTAGAAAACTAAAAGCCTTGTAGCAGGGGCTGAGTAGTTGCATGTGCTTCCTCTTCTCCCCTGAGGGGAAAAAAACTGCCATCTGCAAATTCATATCTTTTTTTAGACTGGAAGTAGAAATACCAAGAAGGCTTCCTTCTAGGTAAACAGCTTTTCTAAAAACTGCCAGCCTGGTCTTGAGTGTTTTAAAGCCAGCCTTAATAAAGGTTAGTTGCTCTTTTCAGCAAGAGCAATGGAATAAGGAGGCTTTCACATGCAGTTGATGGAAGTTAGTCTTTGGCAGGGAGAACGTATTCAGACATTAAGCAACTCTAGCACCTGTCTTCTATAAGACTGTGGACAGAAAGACTTAATTAGTGCAGTGAATTTTCTAACCCTTTGACTGACTCCTCTCACAGCCTTTTAAGTTGAAGACTGTCAGAGAGCAGAATTAAAATCAATTCAGCCATGATATTAAGGAAGTAGTAATTTTTTGTTTCTGTTTTAATGTACGTGTTACTACACCTTTGCTTTAACGAAACAGTAGTGCGCATCACTTCCGAAATAAACAGGAATTGCAACAAGGAGAATTTAATACATATAGTGTATAGAGGAGGCACATGAAACAAAGCCTATTACAAATTCTTCTATAGTAGTAGTTCTGTTTGGCTTCCTCTTGCACTGTCCTTAAGCAGTACAGAGCAGAATCCGGCCTCTTTAGTTTAGCATGTTAAAGTTTTAGCTTGCCCTGCCCAGTTAGAAATTGGGCATTTACGTAACTCTAAACTGATCGTTTAGGCACATACAACTAAGGCAGGAGACAGGTGGAAAAGTCATGCTTCTAGATTATCTGATAATTCATTGAAAAATTCAAGATACTAAAGGTGGCTTCGCAGGATTTCCACAGATAAGAAGGTCGCCATCTCCACTTCCTACAAAAAAAGCCCCAGAAACTTACTTAGAAAACAAAGGAGATAACAGTACTTAAAATCGTGATGCCTAAATCAGCAATGTTAACTGAGTTGAGATGAGTCAACCTCTATCTTTGTCCTACTGTTAAATACTGTTTAAAAAAAAAAAAAAAGAAGTACGAGAGGAGATATAAAAGTCAGCTCAGAAGCTATATTTGAATTGAATCGTAGAATGACACCACCACGGGTGGCTTGCTTTTTTGTTTTTTAATTAACTAGCACATTTAGCAGTAGCCTCTGGAGCAACTAAGTGAAGGAGACCTGAAGACAGAGGCAGCAGCCACTGTGCCACCTGAGCCTTTTGCATTGATACGGCTTCAGTTTTTCACCTCTATGCCATAGAGATCATAACGCTTCTGGTTCAAAATAGGGATTTGTTGACGGATTTCTGCAAGTTTCTTCAGATCTGGAGGGGGAAGACATAGCTATTAGAACAGAGTCAAAAAGGCTGGAAAGTGTACAACTTGCTCTGAGCAAGACAGGAAACAAGAAGCTTTCATGGAGGACATTTCTGTTGTTCATCACAACTGGGCAGCCAGGGCTGAATGAAGCCTGAACTTTGTTCTCACCTAAGGTAGCAGCGGAGACTGGAATAGTCTGGTTACGCTGCTACTTTTCTTGCTTTACTCTAGAAAAGACAGGGAAGGGAATGCTGCATCGTATGTACCTGCATGGGGAGAGACAAGCCCAAGACTCCCAGCTCTCTTAGTCTCATAACCCACACTCAAGAGAGGAATAAAGTATGAAAAAACATACCAGCTTACCTATGTCTGTGTACAGAACCGTTTCTCCGGTGCCAGCTTTGGCTATGACTTCACCCCTGCAAAATTAAGCACACTTGTTCAGAGCATTAACACAGAGGTAGCAAGGCGTCAGTCCAGTTGCTGTTGTCTGTGTAAGAGGGAGTTTCTACCCGTTGAGATCTGGGGCTGTAGAGACAGCGCTGTCCTAAAAATAGCATCATAATTCCTAATTCTTGCATGATGGAAATAGCTTCCAAGTTTTCACGCGACATATACATGCTTAAGCATGCTTCTGAAGACCAAGAAGAATGAACCAAATATGAGAACCAATGCAACTGACCGTGGAACATACCTTAAGGGGAAAGAAACATCTCCAGCAGGAACAATCATATTTGGTAAGGACTGAATCTGTCCCATTTCAGATCCTACTGGCTTTTAACAGGAGGAGTACACTTTATACTCCGCATGAGCTACGAAACACTATCAAGTCTCTACTAGGAGCAACATCCTTGCTCTCGTTTATATAAAGTTAAAAGCTCTAGACATAGCTAAAAATACTTTACTTTGCAATTGTCTAGGAGAGTAACATGAGTGGAATGATTTATTTGGAAGAAAAATAACTGGCTGAAGAGTTTGTTACTTTTACCCAGGGCCACTCAGGTGCATAAGAGAAAATTATTGCTGCTTAAGTCAGAATGTGCTTGTCTGGTTGAAGACATCATTGTTCTTTCTTGTATCAAAGCAGTGCTGTTCTTTGAGGAAGTTTTAAACAGTTTTGTACAGTTTAATAGGGTTCAGTTCTGGATAGACAGTTATCACAGTGCATAGTATATAATGGAGTGAATTTCACGGACAATTTGAGAAGATCAGCTTAACAAACACTTAATGCTGCTAAAGTAGCTATGTGCTTCCAACAAGAATGCATATTGTTAAACTAGTTTTCTGGCTAATTAAAAAAAAAAAAGATTTTGTAGGCTTACTGCACCCTTTTTTCTCACTTCGGAACACGAAATGCATCTGTTTGTTTGCTGCTTTTGCTATGTGAAAAGCCACTTAGGAAGCAAGGGCCTATATCAAATTCTGTAAGTTGGACACCCCTTAAAAAAACGTTCCCAGGTGCTTTTTACAGGAACTTAAGACATTTTTAAGAGTGGGCAGAAATGTGAGACTGAAATGTCACTGTCAAGTAAAACACTTTTTAACCAAAAGAAGATGATTGATTATTTTTCTGAACTCACCATGGATTTACTACAGTGCTGTGTCCCCAGGCAACATAGGATGCTTTTTCATCTCTAGCAGGAGATGCAGTAGCTACATAGACTTGATTATCAACAGCTCTGTGTTCACAGAAAGATGGAGAGAGAAGGAAAAGTCAGTGATTTTTTTTTAAACTACCACTTACTTAACTAAGCAGAAGAAAAAGAAGTCATGCTGAAGGGGTGAGCTATGCGTCCTTCTGAAGAGTAGCCAAAATCATAAATGACGAACGTCAGAGAGAAAACAAAACTTGGAAAGAGAAGGCTGTAGCACCTGCCCCCAGAGTTAGGGTTAGAATGAGTTACATTTTTTGTTCAGGATGTAGCAAAGATGACTGAAGCTTACCAAATAAAAAAATTTGACTTAATTTAAGACTTAAGAATCCTGCATTCAGGAATCTCGGGGTCTGTTTCTATCTTTAGTTAGAGTAGTTCTTAAATGCTTATCGCTGGCTCATGCCTCTTCTGTCTAAATTTTTGCTCCTGAATGGTGCTCAAAGTACTACAAGGAAAAGGACCTTTTAAGGGCACAGCTGTGGGCAGAAGGGCTGAAAGGAGTGAAGGATAAGCATCTCCTGCTTTCCTCCTTGACAGCAAAATTTGGTGTCCCACACAAGGCCTGAGGAACAGTGTAGCGCTGATAGCACGGTGACCCTGCAGCACCATTTAGGCTGCACGTGGTTTAGCATGCAAGAGCAGTTCACTTCTGTATGCTAAAACCCCCTAAGGGACAGGATCATAAGCTGTTAACTTAGTTCTTACCGCCCCCTTTGTAGTAGTTCCCAGTGAGCTGGTCCTGTTGTCAGATTAAAAGCCCCTGGATATATCAGCAGCTGGCAACCTTTAAAGAAAATTACAACCCAACTATCATTAAGGGGAAAATGGTTTACCCTACAGCCACCCTTCATGCTGGGGGTGGTCACGGCAAACTTTCTTTCAGTGTTTATTGCCTGACTTCTGTCCACAATGGAAGAAAATTTAGCCACTCCTTGCATGGAAGAGATGATTACTTATGTCAGCAGAGCCCTGTGACACATTGTCAAGTGTGGGGCCATGTGAACTTCATCCATTTCCACTGCTCCATCAGCAGATGTATAGCAGGAGACGATTGCTACCTTACTCAAGGAGAGTAGATACTCATTTGAATGATGAGGTCTCAAGCCCAAGCTGCATTTTGTATTGTTTGTGTTTAATATTAGTGCCTGATCATGCACACAGATTATTCAGTATGTACCACCCTGAAACAGCCTTGTACAGTTCAGGCCTTAGGGCTAGCCCTGCTCCACTTCATTAGGTGACCCAGCCTCACCTTTCTGTCCGTAGATTTGAGCCAGCTCAGCAAATCTGATATCATAGCAGATGCCCAGGCCCACTTTACAGTATGCTGTTCTCAAAAAACAAGAGACGACAAGTCATATCGCTGCCACAAGTACACAAAAGTAATCACAAGATTCCCTTAGCCATTCTGCCAGCTATTAATTAACATGTGTCACAGTAACAAGAGGAGATAGGTTTAAATTTGTTTCCTTATCTGCAGCAAGCACTGGCTGTTTGAGGGTGAGAATTCATTCATCATAAGGGCATGTCCACAAAACCGTGTCACGTGAAGTCTTTGTGTAATGCTGTATTTCCGTCTTATTTAGCTGCAAGCTTTTCAGTGATATGCAAAGAAAAGAGCGCACTCACTGCTCTGCATGAACTAAAGAAACCGCAGTTACACGCTTTCTTACAGTGTGCACATTACAAGGAGGAGGAGGAGGAAGTGGCCATGGGAGTTCAGATTCTTAGGAGAGGGCAGTTAAGGGGACATGATAATTTTTGAAGACAGCAGTAGGTGAGTTACATTTATCTGGTGTGGTAGATGCAAGAATGTTGAAATAGCGTTTATAGTTAATTGTCTCCATTATTGTATCAGCCTCACATGAAACAACATGCTAGTGTAGGAAAAGAATATAAGCCTGTTTACACAGGTGTAATTTCTATAAAAAGAAAAAAAATGTAGTAACTACTCTTATTAAAAATCAACAGAAACTTGTTTGTTAACGGAAGCACTATGATGTATGCTTCATCCTTTTCTGCTCCTCTGTCCTTTTTCAATCACATTGCCTTTGAAAAGAGTTTCAGAAGTGAATCATACACTTGGAACAAACTTAAACTATGCTGGCCATGTTGGTCAAATGCCTAATATAAATCCAACAATCTAAAAATCCCTGGGGCAGGGAGAGCCCCAAAAAAACTGTTTCAAGACTGACTGTAGTGTCACTGTGGTAGCGTCCCTCAAAGAGAAAGCTTGTCTTTATACTCACGAGTATCAAACATAGAGAAACTATTCCCTGGACTCAGTGTTTCAGACTCTTTGAACTGTATCTTCCCAGGAACATCAATGTCAAACAAATGAATCTGTAATTAGAGTGTTATTAATGACAATTAATAACAATTTCTGCGCTTGGTATTTGAGCCTGTTTACATTAGACCCATGTATTTTCTCATCAACCTCCTCTAGACTACTCTCTTGCCAGGATCCCAACTAACCATTGCTTAAGATTTAAATCATCTTTAGGGGATTTCACAATCAGTTTTCTTCTCTACATGTCTAAAGGTGTTTGGGGAAAAAAAAATACTGCGCATTTTAAACACCACATATAATCCCTGTGTACCAAGTGATGCATATATCAAATGTTTATATTGTTTACCGGGTAGAATGCCCAGTCAGAATGCCCAGTCCTTGTCCCGTGCAATAAAAGACATTATGGAACAATAGCTAAAATATGTAACAACTTTTTTGTAGGATGCATTCACATCTTCAGGGAAAGAGTTCCTGCAAAATAGCTATCTTTCTTGATTTAATGAGTAATTTTGACAAAGAAAGGCTACATATTAAATGTCTTGAGCTTGTCAGGACGATCGTAGTGCAATATGCTAACGCACGTGATAACTCCTCTCTTACAAGGTTCGAGTCCCATTCCTGCCAAACTTCTGCAGAAAGTAACCTCACAAAGTCATGTAGTTCCCGTCACTTCAGGTATGCAGATGTGTCTCAGCGTCTGCAGACGGTCATTATCTCTTCCTTGCAATGGAGAATCCTGTTCCTGAGTGGGACCTCCTAATACTGAAGCTGTTTTAGAATTATTGTTAGTTTCTATTTATACAGTGCAAGCCTGTATTCAACAAATACAGGTTGCAGGGACTGGTGTGGTACAACAGAAGGAAGAAAACATACTATTTCAGAGAGCTGTCTAATAGCGTAGCAAAATGCAGAATCAATTAACAGAACAAATCAATACCTACACCCCAGAGCTATTCTGCACCACCTCATTTGTTCCAAGTAACCTTGCATTCTCTCATCTTGAAACAACCATGCTGATGTTCACCTAAGGAATGATACCTGTATGCAAAGCCAGATTAACAGGAACTACAGTCTGTGTTTATGGATAGTAGGTTGTTTCTCAGAAGGCACAAAGCAACATCCAAGTGGAAGGAAAGAGTAAACAAACACCACAAACAGTAAGCACAACTCAACTACAGAACTTGTACACAGCCCCTTGGACTTGTCTACACAAATGTACGTATTTTGTGGGCTATAGGTATAAGAGCAATCTTCATGATGACAGAAGGGCCAAGTCCATTGGGAACTTGAGGGAAAAAATCCTGGTCCTACTGAAGTGGCACTAGATTTTACACCTAGACCAACGTAAACGGGTAAGCTGAGTTGGATCAGGATTTACTCTTTATAACAATTTTCCCAGCATTTGGGACAAGCCAATTCAGCCTTCTGTGCCCGACCATCTCTATCCAAAACAAGTCTATGACCATCTTTGACAAAGGGTATTGTCATGTCCCAAAGAAAACCACAGTACACTGCTTATTATTACTGCAAGATTTTACTGTTCACATCCTCTTTAGGCACAGATGAAGTTACTCGTGCCTTCTAAAAAGAAAATACAGTATTGTTTTGGGGCAACATTGCTAAAGGATATTCATACCAATAAGAAACCTTCTAATAACAATACTGTGCCATCTTACCTTCCTATGCTTTGCCAACATAGCACCATCAGGCCCAAAGACAGTACACGTATTATATAGCTTTCCACCATCCTCTTCTGGAATGGATCCTTTATTAAGACAAGAACAAAGATTTTGCACTGTAACATAGGGAGTTTTGATGCATCTGCACAAACAGACATTGCCCATTTTTCCCCTGAAGGAGACGTCATGAGGAATAAGCTACCTCCAACAAGATATATGCCACACTCCTTTGCAACTTCTGAGAGCTTGTGTGTTGATTCTCCAGGGATCTTCTCTGCATATTCCTTGAAGTACTGGGTTCCATAAGGAGAGTTAAAACATTCCTAGAATTGGAAAAAGAATGAAATAATTAAGTTAAAATCTGATAACACTACTGCAGGCAGGTGTACTTGGCCTTTCCAACTCCTCTTCTGCCAACATTCTCATGGGATCTTCAGCTTTACAGGAACTCACTAAGCAACTCTGAAAAAAACAGGGAAGCAACAGAGAACGTAACAATTGGAGACAACGTGGTGGGTGAGCTGATGTGAGCACGTGCTGGACAGAACACGAGCTAGGAGCATCAGGCGAGCTGTTAGTAAAAGGGCTAGCATATTTATCAATCTAGACTTAGCAACATTACGAGGAATCTTCTCAGAGCAATGAACCAAGTCCCACCTAGCTCATCTGACAAGTTACAAGCTAAACAGATCCTTTCAAAACTGTGAAATTCTTGTGCTCACCCATAGCCTACATTTTCTTCATTTTTTAAAGGACCTTTTCAAAACATGGATTTCTCAAAATCTTTTGCTACAACAATCCTTTAAATACCATTTCCCCACAACACAGTCTTCTGTCAGTCTCTAGTTAAAGATTTGCTATCCCTCAGAATGAGGCATGTAATCTTTAGACAGTAAAATTAACAGTGGTTTAGATGCCTAATCTAGGTGGCTAGTGGTATTTGAGATGTCCAAGATAGTCAGACCTTACACTCTGCATTACATTTGCCAGCCCTGTATGGATGTGAGACCCCCCCACCCCCACTTCTCCTCTAAAGGAATACAGCTGGAGGCAGGCCACAGATGGGCTATTAGACAGCACTGAGCACCCACTCTTAGGCAACAGATTCCCCACCCAAGCATGTGCCTTGGTTGTTACTCTGGCTCACGGGGGGGGGGGAGGTGGCAGGAATCAAGCTGGGAATAGCACAATAAACATTTATGCCTTAACTGTCCAAGCAAACATTTTGAAAACTACAGTAGATCATTCTGAACTAGAAGATCTGAACCAAAACTGGATGAGTTTTTGCCACATGCACAAAGCACAAAAACCTGGCAACAGGCACCAGCTAATTCATGGCAGAATTTGTGGATGGAAGACCGAGAGAGGAGGTCTCTGCAGACTGTCAAATGAGTTTCTCAGGCTTCTGAAAGCTGGAGTGCGCTTCAGGAAAATGAAATAAATACCAGCTGCCTCGACCTTCTTGCCACCTGCAACAGCAACGCGGATGGCAGCAAAACCACAGGGCTGTACTGTAAGATAACGCTGGAACGTGACTGCACACTGCCTGCACAGCTCTCCTAGTCCTGTGCTCTCCAAAGTGGGAAGAATGCAGGAACAGATCTTAGAATTCCTTAAATTAATTTCTAGATTCAAACAGATTCTGTTGTTATTTCTTTATCTATAAATACTACAAATCATTTTTGTCCAACACGTCTCCAGGTTCAGAAGTGAAAAAACTTAACACAAGGGCAGCACGTCACAGGAAAACTGCACTATAAACATGCCTCTGCACTATAAGCTCAGTGCAAGTCTCTGTGGAGGGTGACTTTACAACAAATAAGGGGAGGGAGGAAAATATTTCATGCCTGCCTCCTAGTGGCAATAAGAAGTTTACTTCCGCAAAGCCTGTGAAAGACCCTGAGCCTCTTTGAGAGGACTTACTCTATACACATAAAGTATCATTAGCAAGATGACTATATCTCTACTAAACGGGTCCAGAAACATCAACATTTGCACGTGTGACAAATCTGGCAAGTAACGGATAATCTCAGTGTAGGAGGCCCAGACAGAATAATCAAAGGTCATATGTGCAATACCAGAGCTGTGTTGGTACAAAGCAGCAGGGAAGCTTGCTTAATGCTTGGCCTGTGACAGCAGGAAGGAGAAAATTCTTTGTGTAAACCATTCACACCTAAAGTTCACCCAGTAATGAACTTTGCACTCCTGAGTCAGATGCTGCAGGGCGCAGGGGTGAATAATGTCCCCCAGAAAGAAAAGAAAAAGCTCACAGCTGCACTGGGAAGGTCACCTCATTGCCAACACATTCATCCGTGTAAAAAATTCAGCAAGGCAATCAGGGGTGAAGTCCAAAAGGTAGATCAGAACTGGTCAGCAATTTTAAGCGCAGATCATGTTCCTACACAAGGATGTCACACAAGAAAGGTGTTTTGATGATAATTCAGCCACAAACCACCACTGAAATCGTCTGAAACTCTATTCTGTTTCTCAGGCACTGCCTAATCTGAAAGGGATGTGGCAAAGAGAGATTACTGGATGCCTGTTTTCTTTCATTTTCACATTTATTCTTTTGCTGAAAAATCACCTTTTCCTAAATTCCAGCACAGAAGGCTTCTGCAAAAATTCAGACCACAGTCTCACTTTTATGATTCGGAACAAACTAGTCAGGGCTGATGGAAATGCCTGGGATTTAAAGCAGCACAAACTTCATCAGAATCTTGTCCCACCAAAAAAAAGACAACCTGCTAGCTCCAGCCAATTAAGTCTCTTTGCTGCATGCCACTAGATACAACAAGGCACATTCATTCCTGTGTTCTTCTGTTTTGGAGCCTATTACAGTATCCAAGCATACCCAGAGAGAAATGGGAATATAAACTCATGAGCAACACTGGAAAAAGAAGTTTCCAAGATTTTGAGGTACAGGAATTTTAAGTTTAAGATTTCTACTCACAGGTAGAGCCACAACTTTTGCTCCTTTCGCCGATGCTTCTTTTACCAGTCTGCAGGCTCGCTGCAGGTTATCCGATTTGACGGCAGATACCTGAAGCTGAATGAGTGCCAGACGGAAGTCTAATGATAGAAAAGAAACAATTAGCCAGTGAAATCCCCCAGGTAAAACGCTTCAAAATTTGTATTCGTTAGTAGGTGTTGAACAAAATAAGTTTGCATATACCTGCTACTTCCAACTCATTCAGTCAGTTTATGGCTCTGGAAACAGTCTCTGAACACGGGGAAAGCATTCAAACCCAGGCCTGCCAAACACGGGAACCATACGCCCGTGTCACTTGGCTCAGCTCAAAGATCACACAGTTCACATGCTAGTAACAGCATAGATCCCACTAGGATCCTAGGAAGTATCCAGTCCAAGCTCTCACATAAGATTTTGTGTAATGGTAAGCAGTACAGGGAAACCACTAGCAACCTAGACATGCTTCTTCCTTCCCAACTTGCTACATGCTTTGTAGTGTATGTCTTGGTTGTGCCCATCACCTGATGAGCACTGCATCTCATAACATGCTGCTAGCAAACTAAAAGGCTGAGATAATTCCCAAAGCACCCAAATAAGGGAAGGGTTTGCTTTCATTTGTCAAATGTCACACCAGGCCTAGGAAATGGATGCGAGGAGCAATCAAACAATAGAGGTAATGACTTTACTGATGATTTCTTCACAATGCAGTTTCTAGACAAGGGATAGATACAAGTGTATCAACACTGTGCCTATTGCAACAAACAGGATTTTTATTTGCAGGAGCCTTTGAATTGCAAGACCTGGAGAGATCAAATCAAGTTTTGGGGGCACCCCTGAGAGTAGCTTCCACGAATCTCCTAGCACTTTGGACTTCAGGAAAAAACACTTCCTGATCAGGTAGAAGTGTCTGCTTTTAAACAGAAATGTTCTGGCTTCATAAAGAATACCCTAGGTTTAAAGCGTCTCTCTTCCGAAACCTCCCATCATACAAAGGCAACTATGGGATAAAGCAACGAGCAGCATAGCCCCTACAGTCAGGGAAGCAACAGGAACGGATCTTGAGGAAGACTCGACTGGGTCAGGAACAGCCAGGCAATGTCTTTCCTCCAGGCTTCAGTTCTCAGTTCAGTAGCTAGAGTAGCTGATTTCGTAAAGTGAGGCAAATGCTCAGTTTGTGATTCTGCCAATACTCACATGAGAGACTGTCTGAATATGTGGCTTACTGTGTAAACAAAGTTTACTGAGATTGTAAACAGAGGAAGGTGTAGTCAGCCATCTCCTTTAGATAGCCATAGTAGTAGTATGTCTAAGTCTTTTCCTTTGATAGTTTGAGGGATGCATTTCTGCTCAGAGAAATCAGACTCAAAGATTTATATTTCAGCATAAACTCACTTTGCAGAAAAGCAAAAGAGCATCTACTAGATAAAATTTTAACTAACTTCCCTCCCATGGTGAGGGAACACCATTTAAATACCAGTGTGAGAAACTTCAGGAAATCATCCATCTTCATTTCCCTGTGCCTCCGGCTTGCAGTTTGTAAAAAGGGTAAAATTAAAGTTGCCTCACCACAGTTATGTGTTGCACCCAAAGTTTTGTGTTAAAACGTTGAGATGGATGAGTAACAGAAGTAGAGAGAAACGTGCAAGAGTGCTGTGGAGGCACAAGATCTCTTCTTCTGGCCTGAGCTGCTTCAAGAACTTCTTTAAAAACAGTCCTTAGGATAAATCTACAGCCACGGAAACCACCATCAGGTATCAGCGCGTCGGAGTAAAACATTACTTCATTTCTGTACCACTGCGAAGCACGTTTTCTTCGTGGAAAGCACCAGAAGCTTAACAAGTCTGATTTGCGATCAAATCTCTCGATAAGCTGACTAGGGAGAGACCCGCGCCACGCAGTCTCCGCCAGTCAAGCATAAGAGCAGCCAGGCCAGGCCAAGGCCAGTCTCATCCGCTCCCCGTAGCACTTGGCGCCGATGAAGGGCCCAGAGGCAGCGCCGCCGGCTGCGGCCCCTCCAGCCCGGACCCCGCGGGGGATGGGGAAGGGTACGTGAGGGGAGTAACGGTCACTTCGCGCCCGCGCGCCCCC